CGCCGCCTTCTCTCGTTTCCTTTTTCACTTTCTTCGGAATGGAAACTTAAAGAATTGTTTCGGTTCCAATTTTGTCACTACACATGTTCCGCAACAGATCAGGGGAGCCAACCTTCTTTTTTTTCACTATTTTCACTTTTTTTATTAGTTTCATTAGTTTCATTAGTTCCAATTCCTGTATTTCCTGCATTTCCTGCATTAGTTCGTTCCATCTTGCTTAACTGAACACAGCCTATAAGTACTCTACTTCCAATGGAAACGGAACACTAAATTTAATCCGTACTGGAGTGAAATCAAATTGAGGGTTTCGGTGGAAACTAGACCTGTGACTATCAATATTGTGACAAAAGAGCACCAACCAAATCATAACAGCTGATCGTTCTTAATCGTACTGTTTGACATTGTCGTCGACAGCAAGATGGCGGCGGTGAGAGTGCAATAAGACGTGAGCAATTTTTGATAAATATTGCCAATTACGACGCTGTGCGCACGTGTCATCGATACTGATTGACTTGTGGTAATTGTCTTCTACGTTTCTACCTACATTTGTCGTAAACGTTCTAAGTTGTTTTTCCTGACAACATCAGTAGTCTCGATTGCTTGTGACATCTTGCCAACACAACAGCAGACGCTTTTAATTGTTCTCAGTCAAATTACTTTGTTATCCTTAATAAGTGCTGGAGTTTAATGAGTGTTTAAATATTATTGACTGATAATGATCCATTTTTTGTTAATTTGGTTTATCATTTAATTTATATGTAATTAATAGGTAATTATACTATTTTTAATAAATGTCACATTCTATGTATATGTCATTTATTTACCATTTTTTTATTTGATATTAATAATATTATTAACCTGAAAGTTTAAAGACCGCCTGTATTTTTTCACTAAAAACATTTTTTCCGGAGTATTTGTGTATTCAGTTCATTATATTGCGTGGAGTGCTTCAGGTTTTACTTATCCCCGATTGGAGCCAGGCCAGTGGAAAACAGAAGTGAAAATTATAAAATTTTGAAAAATGATATTTTCTAGTGGTTTTTTATATATCGCTAATTACGGATGTAAGTGTGTGGTCAAAGTCTTACTGCAAATGTTTTGAAGCATCATTCCATCTTTATTTTATATTTAACGAGAAATAAAGATAGAATGATGCTTCGAAACATTTGCAATGAGGCTTTGACCGCACCCTACGTTTTTGAATTCGAATTGTAAAAATCTTTTAATACAGTAGCATTACCAAGCTAATCACGTATAAATACATTTTGTACTGCAGATTACACTGTAAATTTCGGCGAATTTGAAAGCTCAACTACACTATTCAACAACATATTTAGATTTTTTCTCACAAATTAAGTCAGATAAAAAGAATTCTTCTCCAAAATATGGTGTAATATTAGCGACCCCATATGGCATCATGTCTGCAGCCTATAAGGCTAATAATAGGTTAATAATAAGAGTAATAATATCAGATATGTATAAGTACATATTATATTCTTTAATGATGTAATTTAAATGTAACTATCGAAAATATTATCTATAATATATTTTAAAATAACACTCATTTCCTCCTCAATATTTAGTTTTATGGTATACATAAAGATTCACACTTTAAATTATAAGTTTGAAGAGTTTTTAAATCTTTTATAATAAAATGTGATAAAAATCTGTTGAGAGAATGATTGAAGAAAAGACCTTTAAATGAGCAATAGAGGAGATCATTAAATGATTTAGAGACCATTTAAATCATTAATTATTAGAAACAACTAATCTATGAAATATATATTTTAACTCACATTAGTCTTTTTCAGTCATCTCTATTGACAGATTTAATTACTGCAAGAAGTATTAACATTAGATCCAGAGATCAACAATAATATTGTGTAGATGTAATACTTTATTGTTTTAATAGTTTTCTCAGATTGTTTGCTAAGATGACTGCGGGTACCAGTTTGGTAGTACCTATAGTGTTATGGGGACGGATAGCACCAACTCATTGTATTTCTTGTGTCTATTTATCTCGAGATCAAAAGACATTGGTCACAGGATGTTACGACGGGCAAATATGTCTGTGGCAAGTGGATCCAGAAACATTGAAGGTATGTAAAGTACTAAATATAAAAAACTATGCAATAAAGATTCAAAAATAACAATTAAACATTTTTCTAAAGAGCAAATTTGTAGACTACTGTTATTGTTGATATAAATCATACTTTCATTTTTTACTGTAGATGACTCCAAGATGTCTGCTTGTTGGACACACAGCTCCAATAATGTGTCTCAGCCGAGCTAGCGTTGTAATGGAACAAAATTTCATTGTCAGCAGCAGCGAGAGTGGTGAGATGTGCACTTGGGATCTGGTCGATGGCAAGTGTCGCGAAGCTGTGAAACTCAACAACATCCACACACAGATGTTACCTTATGTTTCCGCGAGCGGAGAAGATGTTAAATTGTTTTGCTCCGGGTAGGAATCGCTGTATATTTACTTAGATTACACAGAAATATTATTTCGTGAATTAATGTTTTTTTTTTACTTTACAGATATTATCCTGAGGTTCTGGTAATGGATCCCTTTAGTCTGGAAGTGCTGTTCACCTTGAGCTCTCGTGTAAATCCGGATTGGATTAGCGCTTTGCACGTTTTGCGGCCGGCCAAACGGAAAGGTCGGTTCTACGTGCATACAAGTTAGTTACACTCCATCACACCTACGCTTTATATCATAATCCGCTACCTTCTATCGACTTCACTGCCAATAGATACTGTAAAATAAAAAATGTAGAAAAAATTTCTTCCTTTGCTCTAAAATTTAAATAAAATTTGATAAAAATCTTTTATATGTATTATTTTATGTGATATCTGAAATTGTTTTGTTTGCAATATATATAATTCTCACACGTGATAATCTGTGCGCAATAAAGTTTTGCATGAAAGTGAACAGTATCTCTTGGTATTTCATTCTTCTATATATTTATACATTCCGGTTTTTAAGTAAAAAACTTGCGGATATTATTAACGATAAAGACTTTTGTTCATAAGTAGAATGAAATCAAATTGGACAATAATGTTTAACAAATGATTGACGATTGTATTATAGTATAACTCGAAGATAACTAACGATATCTAAAGCATTTGGCGTTTTTCGTTTAAATTTTATAATCTGCTAGTTTGTCACTTTTTTGGCAATTAACCTAAAGAAGCTTCAGGCTTTGGGTGAAAACGGGGATCTTTTTGACAATTATTTTGTGCATATATCTTTTACGCGAATACAATAATTTTTCGGATATACTTATTTAATTTGATAGCAATTATATATATATATACAAGGTGTCCGACAATTAGTGTAAAATCTCTCATAGGCAAGTAGAAGGAATAAAACTGAGTCCTGAACCATTTTTTTCTATTACATAAAGAAGTAATTATTGAATAATCAAGCCAATCAGCACCGACCTTTAGCTGGGCGCACGTCAGTGTCAGTGAGCCGCGGAGCGCTCACGCACATTAGGCGCGTGGTTCACTGATGTGCGTTCGGCTAAAGATCGGCGTTAAAGATTGGTTTGATTTATTCAATAATTACTCTTTTATTATATGTAATAGAAAAAAATGATTCAGAACTTTTCGAATCAGTTTTATTCCTTCTGCCTATGAAAGATTTTATACTAATTGTCGGATACCCTGTATAATTATATATTACAATATTATAATTATATATTATAATATAATAATTATTATATAATTATATGTACATAATTATAATAATAAATATATATATTTATAATATTATATAATTATAATATTTATATAATTATAAGTATACATATACACATATATAATATACGTATATCTAATACATCTTTTTTCGACTGACTATTTAATAACAGTTACGTTGTTGCAGCATGTTTTTTTAATGAAAAGTGGAGCCAGTGCGCTGGCAGTCGAGGCACTTTCTTCTTTCAGTTAATCCTCTTTGTTAATTCTGATCTAACTATCTTCTTTTGCACTTTATTTCGTAAACATAATTATCGCTAATATCTTACTTCAATTTTCTTTTTTTCTTCTTTCTCTTCATGCATTACTCATCTATCCTGTATACATATCTATCCTGTGTTTACATATATATAAATAAATTTTCATATTTATACATATTCTATTTCCAACTCTTCACACACTCTTAATGTACAATACACACAATATATATATATATTTCTCTAATTCGTAAGTATATATTACAATATATTGTTTACGCACTTCGACACTATTAAATTAATAAATAGAAATAGCAATTACTATTAAATTGCATGCTACATGTTATTGCTCGTTTAATTTTGTGTTTTTTTTTTATTATTGAGATTAAAACTCAATGTTTAGAGTGTTGGTTATGTACTTTTTTTTTTATCAACACATGAAGTTTTATTTTAAAAAATGTTTACATTATGTTTAATATTATGTGATTTTGCAATTTATTTTAAAAGAAACTTTGGGAAAGGTTTTAATGTTTTTTACAACGCTAAATATTGTATTGGTTTAAAAGAAGTTTTTAAGTTTTATAGCGCTAAATAAATTTATTGGTAATATAAAGCTAACGCTATTTATATATATATAATTTATATTTTATTGTTTGACCGCATATTTTCGAAACTTATACACGAAAGAAAAAAAAGGCAAATATTGTATTTCGTATGTATAAAGTACAAACTTAATTACGAACAAAATTTGTTATTGAAAAAAAGACGAAGATTGCAAATATCTTTTTGTCGTGAATTAATAGAGAATGCGTGTTAATTGTCGCCTTTTAATCAAAGACTCCAATCCTCGGACTTCATTTAAATCAAATAAATAGAGCATATGTAAGGGAGACTGGGATTGTGACACGGGTAAAAAGTTACAAACTTAAATTAGCGATGAAAAATAATTGCAACAACGATGATGTTACTGACGCGTGTGACGCGTGACAGTTGTCGCGTTTGTCTCTTTTTAGCTTTAAGAGGATACTGGATACCGACTATAGAGACCTGTAAATCGACGTTTTAGAAACGTAAATTTCTCTAATTTCTAATTTTGTGTACTGCATCACATGAAAAATGCTTCTACTGAAGCAAGTAAATATAAAAAACTACATGGTGCTCTTGAAAATGGGTATATAATGCTCTTTTTTTCATTTACAAAGATAGTATGTAATAACTTATACTGTCATCACGAGAATCGCTTTTTCTCGTCATCTACACATTCCAATCATAATCTGAGTATCTCATTGGATTCTTTTTTGTCGTACTTATTGCTGTAATTCAGTGTAAATATGTATATAAGCTTAGAAATAATTTTATATACATGAATATATGGTGAGGTTATAGAAGAAAACTGTATAAAAAAAAATTTATGCTGAATTTTGACATTCCAAAGAACAACAGCAAACTCTTAGCATCATTTACTTATTTCTGTAGAAGCATTTTGGATTTGATGCAGTAAATACGGCACAAAACGAAATATTAAAACGTCGATTTACAGGTCTCTATAGTCGGTATCCAGTACCCTCTTAATGTAGCACTTATTTTTTATCACTAATCAAAGCTTGTAACTTTTTACCCGTGTCACAATCAGCCTCAGTTTCCCCTACATACGTAGATATTCAGATTCTGCGTATCTGAAGACAAAAAATGACTGCTGCATTTAACACATATTGCCGTTTTCTTCAAAGAAACATTTGGTATATGCACGTAATGTTACACTTTATGCATATGAAAGTTAATAACGCTTAATAAGGGTCACATTACACTTATTCTTATTAAAAAACATTAATAATATCTATAAAGTTGTCTTACTGCAACTGCTTCAACTCGATTCAATTACACAATTTAATTAATGTATTTAATGTAATCGAATTAACGAGATTGCTAAAAAATAAACCTCTTATGTTTCGTAACAAATGGCAAATTATTGCGAATGACCCTAACGAAATATTCTGTCGCTTATAAGTGCTACAATGCTCTCCTAGATTTACTTAACGCGCAACAGGCGCTTCCATTCGTTTAAAGACGACGTCGTGCTGGCTTTAACGACGACAGGCACGGTCAAAGTATGGACACTCCTGGGACATGAGAATCGGAACAGCGAACCTTTATACGAACACGAGAGTAAGCAGATACGCTGCTTGAATGCGCTCGCGATGACCTGCTGTCCTTATAATCAAAGAACGGTACTCATAGTGTGCTCTAAATATTGGCAGGTAATTCAACACTTGATCACAAATACATATATTCTTAATTTTTTTTGACATTAATTAATTTGGATAAAATTCAAATTGTATGAATTTATACATTGATAAATATTACGACACTCACATTGACTTTTTCCTTCTTAAGTCTTTGAAGAGTATATTAATATTCCAATGTATTTATTAATCAAATTATTTTTTTGTACAGATATTCGATGCCGGTGATTTTTCGGTTCTCTGCTCGATAACAGTACCACGTGGCGAACGTTGGATGGCGGGTGATTTCTTGGCTGCCGATAGAGTCATTTTGTGGAGCGACGAGGGTCACGGATATCTATACAAGCTTCCAGCAAAGTATGTATTTGCTCGATAATATAATATACTCAATATAATTTCAGTCAAACAACATCACGGATTTCGAGTACTTTGGAAGTAATATTTTTTTTAAACACTAGAATTTTCTTCTTTCTGGCTGATAAATAATATTGCTTAACGAACAGAGAATTTTCTCTCGTACTCTTATTTAATATTTGCGATCGAGTGACACATTTATAGAACACATTTGATTGCAATACTTGAACATTGAATCTTATTGATTATATTAGCACATCCCTTTATTGCTTTTAGGGTTCTGCCAGAATTTGACAGGTAGTTTCTTTTCGCGTACATATAAGTATTAAAAGTTGATTTTGTTGCAAATAATATATCTAACAAAATAAATTTTAAAAGAAACAAATATTTTATATTGATAGTTAGCAGCATGGTTACGGTTGCTAAAGCGCACTTTATTTATTACACTTTATAGCGGTTTAACACGTTGAAATGGCTATTAAAACAAATCAGCGTTTTTTTAATACGTAATTGTAATTTATGTGATTTAAATGTGTGATATTTTTCTTTGAGAAAAGAAAGTCGCGCAAACGTTTTAATCATTTTTGACATTTTAATCATAATTTTATACATCTGAAAGATCATTCTCGAACGATTTTTTTCGACATGTCATCAAAATCAGTTTATCAGTCTTGTATTATTTTCTCGTGGACTATTAACGTACTTTATTAATATACGCATTGACTTACAAACGTAAGAATAAGTTTTTTGTCTTTCAATTTTAAACCTGAATGCTGTAGAAGCACTTGCTGGCAATGCACATGTTTCGATTTTAGTTTGTACTTTGTTTTCTAATCATTTATCATGCGCTAACATGTTCGGAATCATGCTGTTGTTTATTTACTAAATAACTCCGCTACAAATAACCCATTTTCATAAAATAAAAACTGTCAAAATCGATTTTAAAACATTGAAAAATAGAATTATCAATATTAACTTTTGTTTTAGTATAATGTAATTTACCCTGCAAACGTTTTTTTGACACCTATCCGCAAACCAGGGTCGTTTATGTCCTACTGTATTTTTCTCTATGTGAAAGTTATACAAAAATTCGAAAAATATTTATGTAGTATCCTTTATACCTTTTATTTTATTGATCAATCGAAACATTTTGGGAAAAATTAATTTGTTTAAATAATTTTTTAATATAAACAAAGTAACTCGAGTGAAATGTAGTGTTTTGTTTAAAAAATCGTAACTTTGCAAAAACTTGACCAGATTAAAAATAAAATGCTTAAATTAAAGATGAAGATTGCAGAATTCATAAACAAATTATGCTACTGCATTTTATTAAAGTTAAACGCTTAATTTTTCAACATGAAAAACGTTTTTTATATTTGTGAATGCTGGCGTTTTTGAAGTAAAAACTAAGGTTTTTTGATTACATTTTTATTCAAAATAATAGTAACATTAGACCATAACAAAATAGTCAATCTGTTTTTTTCGAAGCACCCGAGGTAGCTCGTCAGAAGAGCGCTGCGTTATTTTGAAATTATTATGAAAAACATTTTTTTAATTTGATTTTTTTATTTAAAAATATCACGACTTGACATTGAGCAAAATTGTGAACATATAAAAATCAGATAAAAAACCAAAAAGTTTTTACTTGTACAAAAATGTATCGTAATCTGCAAAGTATTCGCTCGAAATTTTGTCTTGTCACTGTGACTATCAAAGTTGTGGAGATCTGAAATTTGGCCGTTACGTTCTCCTCTTATACAACTTTTTTTAAGATCGGACCCCTTTCTCTTCTCTCGTTTGTAAATTATAAACGCAAATAGATTTTGCGCGGACACTAATGACCATGGCTTGCAGTTTGAGGGCTAAATAATGTATTTTAAAAGATTAAATACTCAATAGGAGTTTCCTTCGTTATAATACATATATTTTTCAAGCAGAAATAAAAAGAAAACTTTTAAAAAAGGATTTTATTTTTACTCTACGAAATTTGAGCATTCAGCGTTTAGCCGACAACAGTGTAATCTGAAAAATTTTTGTACATGCACATTAAAGTAACAATTAACACAATAGTTCGTCTTACGGTGATGTCTTTTTCATATTATGTACACATCTACTGCATTCTACGCGGGATCTGGTGTTCTAGCAAGCTGAAGGGCAAGGCTCTCAGCAGGTAACCCGCATTATCACTTGTACATGTTCTTCATACAAGTTTCTCTTCTGATCTTTTATTATTTTTCTTTGTGATCTTTCTCTCTTTCTCTTCTTTTTTTCATTCATCATTTTTCTCGTATGTTAACATACTTTTTAACTTTTTTGTATTAATATAATCATTCGTTTTTTTCATAATAATCATTCTCTTTCGGTGTGTATCAGGATATACTATTATAGAACCTCAGAGTACACACTAAAGAGTGACTCCAAAGATCGCTCGTTTTGGAGTTCTTGAATTTTTAACCAAATAGTCCTGAATGATAGCTTATGATAAGACATTGTCAATCATATTAATTGATTCAAAATCACACAAGAGCCTACTTTTCGTTTCGGAGATAGGCAAAGTCAAAGTTACTAAGTTGGGTGAGAAAAGAGTATCGGTATTATGACATACGTTACAAGTAAATTTACGGAACTGTCTATCAGAACTCACCAATTTTGATGGGATAACTTTGCACATTTGTAAAATATGACAAATAATCGACATATTTTTATATTGGCAAAAATGCACTCTAAAGGGTGACAAGCTCTTAGATGTGAGGAGATTTTCACGTTTCAGCTAGAATTTATATACATACATTTATATACATACATTCTGCGTGATCAAAAAAATAAAATAAATTTAAAAGGTTTTTGAAGTCGCTGATTTATGAAATTCTAGCCCCGAATTTGTAATCACAAATCAAAATGGCGGACATTGACTATCTAACTTTTATAATTATTAATCAATACGCACAAAAATGATCATTTACACATTTCTAGGATCGTTGCTTACAACTCTGAACATAGGATTTCAAAATACAGACCCAATATGTTAATAAACTGACAAACTGCTAAACCTATCCTATCTTATCCTTAACGAACTATAAGATAAAATTAAAGCAATCCAGCCGACTAAAAAGATCGAAGTGTTCCAGCCAACTAAAGCAAAATCGAAGCGAAAAACAAAAAAATTATTTTATATCAAAAAATATATGTCGCTTATTTGTCATAGTTTTACAAGTGTGCAAAGTTATCCCATCGAAATTGATGAGTTCCGATAGACAGTTCCGTAGATTTACTTATAACGTATATCACGATACCGATGCTCTTTTCCTACCCAACTTAGTAACTTTGACCTCGCCTATTTCCGAAACAAAAAGGCTTAATATGAAATTTTTCTGTGATCTATGTCTCATCATAAGCTATCATTTAATACACTATTTGGCTCAAAATTCAAAAACTTCAAAACGGACGAAACTTTACTTCTTTTTGGGATCACTCTTTGTATTTTGATCACCAATGTATAGTGTTGCAGATGTATAATGTTTTAATTCTAAATGAATTGATTTATTGCGTTGACACAAATTACACGCATCAATTGATGACTTGAACATAAAATTGTTTTTTTGTCAATTTTCTCACGTGCTATATACGTAACATCACGAATTTTCTCATAGACGCTCACATTTAAGTTCACGTTTTCATGTACATTGTCATAATCATCACACTCCTTAATCGCAGTCCAAACAGATAATGTATACAAGATGAAATGTGAAAGATATTCGGGAGAAGGTAAATACGAGAAGAAATCACGTGTTATCATAACTCATTACTTCTGTTTTTTTGTATTCTTTTGTTTGCTTTAAGTTGCTTTGCACTGGTATTATATTAAGTGTATGATGTACACACATATATACATATATACATATATACATATATATATGTATATACAAACAAGCGTGAAGCAAAGGTAATTCACGGTAAATATTTATAAAAGGTCATTACCCCCCGAATTCAATAAGCTTGACATATGCTGTCAAGGATTGTTACTCTCTGAGTAACAATCAAAAGGTTTTAGTCGTTGCTTGTTGTTTGTTAAAAAGTTATAAACAAAAGAAATTTCATAAATAAATTCTTATTTTCCAACATCATGTACATTTTGTTTGTTATAAGCGTGCAGGCAGGGAAAGGGATTCCCCCTGCATCCCTTCTCGAGAAATAATAGGGAACGACTTCTGATTAAGTGTCGCTAAAAACCACGTACATACTATCGACATGAAGCGACAATCGTTTTTTATTTTTTCTCGAGGGAGGTGCAGTCCCGCCTGCCTACACGCTTACAACACAAACATAAAGAACAAAAAGAACAAAAAAGAGTCTCGTTATTTTGGTTCAACGTTATACATAATGTACAGTCGGCGTCAATGAATCGTTTCGTAATCCCGGGAGCTAGGGGTAAGAGAGACGGTATTCCCTAGGAGTAAGTACTGCCAACGGGCGCCGCACTAACTAACTGTAGCAGATTTTGATAAATTGACCAATTACAGTATTTACTGCTAAGGAATACCGTCCCTCTTACCCCTAGCTCCCCGCGTCCACGAAACGATTCATTGACGCCGACTGTACAGACGGCGTCATTAATTCGAAGAATAGGCGCGGGGATCACATAAAAAGTCCAGTTGATCCAAATATCCATTAGTCCCAAAATCGGGTGTCCAGTTGTGGACATGGTGTCCACATGGTGTATCACCACCCGATGACGCCTCGGTAGCTCACCGGCCGCCAACACACGCAGAGGAGTTCCCCTAATCTTCTAATCAAAGGAATGACTTCTAAGCCACTCCTCCGACTCTTTACTGGCGCACACTATCACCAGTATCCATCTATGTCCCAGGTGCCGATGAAGGTGGGAGCTTTGGCATCTCCGGACATGCCGAGGATGCGAGATCTAATCAATTTCTTGATCTCCAACCCCTCATCAGCTCCTAATTTCTTGTCGGGGTAGCCTTCCAATACTAGGGCCACCTTGACAGTTCCTGTTGTCACCTGCGCATAAGACCTTTCATTTCTGGGTCTCTTGTCCTGGCGATTGGTAGGGGGACTAGGGGTAGCGTGCTCCGGCCTAGCGCGCTTCGCCGCGCTACCCGAAGCCCGTCCACCCCCAATTCCTGTTTTTAAAGCAACAGCAGTATGAGTGTGAGAGGCCTTAGCAGCCACACTCTCCCTCGCCTGCCTCTCGTTTCTCAGACGGTGCCTGGTGGCTCCGCTAAGTCTTTTGCGAGGCGGGGCTACAGAGCCCGCTCTCGTATCGTTTAGACTCCCTGGGTGTTTGCTTCCGGAGGAAGTTTTGCTCTTGGGAGCTTTGGAAGGGGTGCTTTCTGAAATGTTATCCATTTGAGTCCCACGAGTGTCGCGGTCGCGCGGTCTCACCCGGCCAGAGCCGCGTATGGCTGGGGCTTGGCTCGGTACTCCTGGATTTCGCCCGGTATCCAGGAGGCACCGTTCAGGACGCAACACCCTTTGCGCCACGCAGCTCTCGGCACGGTTGTTCACACCTTAGCTTAGGGGGTTCCTCTTAGTTGGCCGCGGGCGGGCCCACCCCTGAGCGGGTGACCGCCCGTAACCTTAAGCCCTACCCGTTCCGGCGCGAGAGCCCCGAGCCTCCGAGGACACCAGATGCTCACCTTCTGTGGTCAATACTTGTCCCATCAGTTTACACATTCGTTGTGGCAACACGACCGGGCAGATCTGCCAGCGTCCACTCGGGGGCTGACGATCAATGCCCGGCCGCGCCGCCACCAGCACACGCTGGGAACAAAATAAACGTTCCGTGTAGTTACTGCGAGGCGGCCAGACCACGTGCACACCGAGCGCTCCGCGGACCCGGAGCTCCCGCCTCGGAGCTACTACAAGGTGGGAACCCATTCGGGGGGATCATTACACAGTAAATCACAAAAAAAAACTTTGTTGTTCCAACTACACATTGTCACAAAATATTGAAATAATTTGGCGTGATATGCAAGCAAATATTCTATATTACGGAACATCAGTAGAATATTACAAATTTTACATAGCTGAATACTTATTTAAACGCTTTGCGCATGAAGGATAGATTCGGCTACAAAACAATGAATAATACTTACAATGCATTATAATAACAATAAAAACATATAACATTATACAACATTACACAGAATAAATAAGAAAAGTGGAAATTTCCAACATTCGTCTACAATCTCATTTTTTTTAAATAACTTTTTACCAAACAACGAAGCAACGGCTAAAACCTTTTGATTGTTACTCAGAGAGTTATCCTTGACAACATATGTCAACCTTATTGAATTCGGATGGTGGTGACTTTTTGTAAAATATTTATTGTAATTCACTAAAAGAAAAGTTTGTCGACACATTTGCAAAATACAATTATAGTTACATAATTCGATTGTCTAGTTAAAAAAAAGACGTAGTTTTTCACAAGCACATTCACCTTTGTGTACCGTTTTTATAATAATTCTATTGCTTTTAAAGATTACGTTTACTCGCATTTGCTTGCTAGTAAACTTAGCGAATAATCACGCAGTTTTTAAGTATTCGCAATAAGCTTATGCGCGATATGGAAAAAAATAGTTACTATTTGTGAATATGGTTTTGAATATCAAGCATATATACAAAGATTTCAATAAATCTTGAATTCTACGAACATGAAAGTGGAAAACAATGATTCACAAATGGTATCTAAGACTTTCTGAAGACAAAGGGTAATTACCGTTTTTGTATGATATACAGTAGCGTCGCGGATAACAAGAACTTTCATACCGCCAGTACCGAGCAAGATCAGCCCTATCTGTATTGCACACTAACCCAACCCGGAGACAAGGTGAGAAAACATCTTTTTACTTATTTTTAAAATGTATTTGTGCGCGTCTCGATACTTCTTATTTTTCAAATTGTTTCTCTTTAATTAATTCATTTTTAGAAATGTCTTAATTATCTTTCTTTATTTTCTTTTACCGTGCGCGAATTTTTGTTTCATACGTTACAGCCTCTTTCTTGCCCTCCGGCTATGCGACTGGTCACTGTGCAACGTCAAAACAAGACTCTAAAGTATTTGTTGCGCGGTGATAGCGAGGGTGTTGTTATCCTCTGGACAGTGCCAGATGTGACGACGCAGCAACTCGCCCAGATATGTCAGAACGACGGGTCTTCTCCGCCCGCGTTACCGCCGACTGTAAAAACGAGTCTTACCGCTGCCTGGGACGCGATGAAACCACCACCCGTGGGAATACTCGATCAGTTGGACTCAGGCGACGGTCAGGGTATTAAACTCACCGCTTGCATTTACTTACCGCAGCAGAGTCGGCTAGTCGTTGGTCGCGAAGACGGTAGTATCATCATTGTTCCAGCGACGCAAACTGTGATGCTTCAATTGCTGCATGGCAATCATCAGCAGTACGATGGTATTGTATCTGCTTATTGATAATACTTAGTAGGTGTGTGTGTGTGGGCGTGTGCGTGTGCGTGTGCGTGCGCGAGCGCGAGCGCGAGCGAGCGAGCGAGCGGGAGAGGGAGAGAGAGGGAGAGAGAGAGAGAGGAAGAGAGGGAGAGAGGGAGAGAGAGAGAGAGGGGGGGAGGGAGAGAGAGAGAGAGAGAGAGAGAGAGAAATAAAAAATAAATCCAAAAAGGAGAAAAGGCCATAGACACAGATGGTGTGTAACGAACAACTTATTTTATTTTTAACGTTTTGATTCAGGATTGGATCATCTTCAGAAAAAGTTGACAATTTCCTGTATGTATCAAAGTCAAGATTACACTGCGATATTGTTAATACAAAGTGAAGTGATTAAACAAATAATGTGAAAAAAAGTGTCTGATAAACGTGTTCTTCTGCCTACTTGATTGTAATGTGAGGATGTAAAAGAAAGATAAAATCTATACACACATGATATTTTTTTGATTGAAATTTCTTACCTATTATTTAGATTGGCCACCACATCAAGTTCTTCTGGGTCACTCAGGACGAGTAAACTGTCTGCTTTATCCACACGGCGCGGCATCTCGCTACGATCGCACTCATCTCGTTTCCGGTGCTGTGGATTTCGCTGTTTGTCTCTGGGATTTATACGCTGGCACATTGATCCACCGGTTTTGCGTTCACGCCGGCGAAATCACACAACTAATGGTGCCGCCTGATAATTGCAGTGTATGAATATTTGCTAATTTGTACTATAAAAACTTGTATTTGTGATTATGGTATTTGTGACCTTTTTTAATCTTTATTTTGTCCTAAAATTAAGAATTCATACGAAATATATAACGTCTTACGAGCCGAATGCAGGATGTTTGTGCGGAAATGTGCATGTATATATATATGAATATATATACGTGTTCACAAGTAAATTGTTACAAGTGAGTTATTTGAATTGACATTTCAATTCATCAAGTCATATAGGAAGCTAGATTTGCATCTCGTATATGAAGGATCCCAAATATCTCTCCAAACTAACTTTCATAAAGCCTTAAAAATTTACTTGTTAATTTACGCCGGTTGAAATGATAAGCGTTATTAAAAACTATCAGATCATCTTTGAAAGATGTATGAAGTATTGCGAGACAAGCTCCAAGTGCCTCGGTGGCCTAACAGGGAAGACGACGGAGATTCCAGGTTCGACTCCTGGCTGAGGAGATTTTTTCGTAATATTTTAAATTAGTTTGCGGGGTATTCGGGATTCTTCATATACGAGATGCAAATCTAGCATCCTATATGATTTGATGAATTGAAATATCAATTCAAATAACTTACTTGTAAAAATTTACTTGTGAACACGTATGTATATTCATATATATATACATGCATATTTCCGCACAAACATCCTGCGTTCGGCTCGTAAGACCTTATATATATTCCGTTGAAACTTTCATAGAGCCTTAAAAATTTACTTGTTAAGAATTCATATTCTGTAACAAACTATGGGTATTTTTATCCGCAGCCTAGAATACAAAAGTGCGTTTGCAGTGTGGCGTCAGATCACAGTGTCACATTGCTCTCATTAGCTGAGAGAAAATGTGTCGTGCTTGCTTCGCGTCATCTTTTCCCGGTGGTAACCATCAAGTGGAGACCATTGGATGATTTCATGATAGTTGGATGTTCGGACGGTGCTGTGTACGTTTGGCAAATGGAAACCGGTCATTTGGATCGCGTATTGCACGGTTTGTTAGCTCTTGCTTTAATTTTTCAATTTACTATACGTTTCTTTCACATTTTTTTATTTTTAGCAGTCTCAATTCTTAAATCTTATGTATCCTTCAATTCCATGTTTTCGTACTACATTTCTTTGAATATACAAGATTTGTACTTGCAACGAATCTTATGTACATATTACTTTTAGGCATTATTGCGGAAGAGGTGCTCTACGCATGTGATGAAAACACTATAGCTGCGGCATGCGGATCTGCTGGCGGCGGTGAATTAGGACTAGCCAATCCTGCTGTGCATTTTTTTAGGTAAATGAAATCTTGTAGCGTGGACGGTGAAAATCTTGCGTGATATTCGAGATCTTCCGAGATAACATTCTCCGTTATACAGTAACTCCGTACAGTCCGTCCAATTTTTATTTTTTAGGGGTTTACGCCATAGGAATTTATCGGCAATTCGACACGCCACACAGAGAGGGCTGCATCAGTTACAGCAGCTTCACGGCGGACATGGTCCCGATCATGGTAATCAAATAAAAGCCAAAGGCTCGCCGTTAATGATTCAGGGATTCAGGAGTAACCCGAAGGATCCGGAGAGTCATATCTTGTTTTTCGACATAGAAGCGTTAATAGGTACAAAATATTCTTCTAAAAAAATTTAAGTGTCATAATTTATAATAATCATTTATTTGTTGGGCTGTTGAAACCAATGAGCGAGGTGTTTTGCTGTAAATAATTACACTGCTATTTCCAAACGTTTCGGTTTTTATTCTAAACCATCTTCAGTGGAACTATTATATTATACACAGAGATTATTTAGATGTATAGATACATTATCTGCAGATACATTGTTCGCAAATATATGTACAAATCACGCAACGAAAAGCATATGAATTTTCCAACACCTTCACAGTTTGTCTAAAATCGGAAGATATGAGTTATCTAATAATTTGGTCTCTTGCATGACATTAAGAGGGTACTGGATACCGACTATAGAGACCTGTAAATCGACGTTTTAATATTTCGTTTTGTGCCGTATTTACTGCATCAAATCCAAAATGCTTCTACAGAAATAAGTAAATGATGCTAAGAGTTTGCTGTTGTTCTTTGGAATGTCAAAATTCAGCATAAATTTTTTTTTATACAGTTTTCTTCTATAACCTCACCATATATTCATGTATATAAAATTATTTCTAAGCTTATATACATATTTACACTGAATTACAGCAATAAGTACGACAAAAAAGAATCCAATGAGATACTCAGATTATGATTGGAATGTGTAGATGACGAGAAAAAGCGATTCTCGTGATGACAGTATAAGTTATTACATACTATCTTTGTAAATGAAAAAAAGAGCATTATATACCCATTTTCAAGAGCACCATGTAGTTTTTTATATTTACTTGCTTCAGTAGAAGCATTTTTCATGTGATGCAGTACACAAAATTAGAAATTAGAGAAATTTACGTTTCTAAAACGTCGATTTACAGGTCTCTATGGTCGGTATCCAGTACTCTCTTAAGGCTGTTCTTGTTGAGCTTGATATGCAATGACTCAGATATTAAACGTTTGCAATAATTTGTTTCATGGTCTAACGCTCGTATGAACTTCCAGTAGAACGTATGATCAGTATATGACAGTTCAACAAATGTTCCTCTATTACCGAGGTGACCTTCTGTTTTTATAAATTCTATGTATTCTTTTACTCTGATGTTTAACTGCCGTTTGGTCTGCCCTACATAATTTGCTTCACATGTATTGCAATTTATGTTATATACGATGTTTTTTTTTTGTTTTGTAGTAGTTGATCTTTGTGAGTTTTAATATATTTATTTAGTTGGGATTGAGACTTCTGCAATATAATCTGATTTGAGGTTTTTTTGTTGTTTTTATTAATAATTAATGGTTTTAAGTTTTCAGTGATAGAGAGGACAAACGGTACCACGAAAAATCTAATAGGTTCTCTCTGTTCATTAGACTCTGGACATTGTCTATGACCATTTAGCTTGGTGGAAAACAATATTCTTAATCTTTTTTGTATTGTTTAAAAGATGAAGTTTAAGAGGATGCTGAGCCGCTGGCAAAAGTCCGCTCAGCTGCTACTCAACCGCTATGCTATCGAGTTAGTGGCGCCATCTCTCGGGACCAAATCAAAACAAGGATAGATGAGAGAGACAAGGATAGACATATATTTCTCTCTGACGCTTCTTTAAAATTATACAAATCGTAGTTTTAATTTTTCTTGTCTCACAAGGCTTTAAAATCTTTTTTGAAGCACTCAAAATATTCGTCCATGTTTCTAGTTTGGGATAAAGATATTTTTAGTTGGATTTATATGCCAATTTTGCATATAAAGTAAAAATGTAGTTTTAGTAATAACAGTCTACACAAACTTTTTTTTGTTTTTCTTAAATTTTTATGCTTTATCCCATTCTTTACTATATTTTCTTTATTTCTAGAGAAGTATTTTTTATTCCGATTCATAGTTTTTACAAAAAGTTAAAAATACGGAATGAGGGTAAAACAGGACGGTTCAGCATCCTCTTAACGAGTAGTTATTATCCAAGAGAGTGTCAACACACAACTGTAAGTTTTTGTTGTTGGTAATTCGGGTTTGATAGTAAGATAGCTCTGTCGAGGTTGTAAATTGTGCCGATTTTGTGGCATAAAGAGCCTTGAGATAGATAGTTTAAATACCTTCCTGAAAACGTTGGTTTGTGGTACCAATCACATTTTACAACGTTATTCTCAAGAACGATACATAAATCTAGGAAGCCTAGCTCTTCAGTTGTCTGTAACTCGTAGGTGAATTGAATTAAATGTTTGTAAATGTCATCTACTTTGTCTCTGGGGATCGCTATTGCGATGTTGTCAACGTAACGAAAAACAGTATTTGGAAAGATATGCTGCTAAGTATTCTTAGTTCAATATCTTGCATAGTGATGTCCACGATGATAAGAGAAAGAGATGAGCCTATTGGGATACCATGGGTTTGTTTATATATTTTAAACTAATAAATATATGTAAGCCCGGTCAGTAAGAGCCGATCGCAGGATGTTGTGCGGAAAAATGTGCGTATATATATATATATGCATACATTTATATGTATGCGTTCACGTGTTAATTTTTCACGTGAGTTTTTTGAATTAAAATAACAATTCTTTAAATCATATAGGATGCTAGATTTGCATCACATATATGAAAGACCCCGTGTATCCCCCCAACTAATTTTTAAAATATTGCGAAAAAGTTGTTTATATATTTTATTGTCAAATGAAAAGAACGTAGATAATATCATGAATCTTATAGCTGACAAAACTTCTTCTTTGCTTATTTTTGTATTTAATCTTTATTATTTCCATCTCTTGGACACTCTTTCTAATGCTCCAGATAGCCAAATGTGAAAACTCAATATAAAGCAAAATAGCAAAATAGCCAATGTTTATGGCAAGTGAGTCAGCAATATGTGAGCAATATATGAGCAATAATTTTTATTCATAAGTTGAGAAAAATAATATAAGTTTATTGCTGATGAGTTGTTGGGAACTTGCTGTAATTATATTTTGAAAACTGTTGCTGGCAAGAACATACTGAAAAGAGGATACACTCTTTTGTTACATTGCTGAAAACATATGAGCAATATTTGTGGCAAGTTGCCAACAACTTGTACTTTGTTGGCTATCTGGGGCTAAATCTATTGGTATGTTGGTGAAAAGTGATATTACATCTAATGAACAAAGAATAAACTCATCCTTTACTTTCAGTCCAGACAACATATCAAAGAGGTGGAAACTATCTTTTATAAAAAATGATGAGTTAGGTATGCTCTTGTACAATATTTTGTGTAAGTAAATTGCAAAACTATGGAGTGGGCTGTCTATGGTTGAAACAATAATACGATATAAGCATTTCGTGTTAGTATTAAGTTTGTGAATCTTAGAAATTCCATATGTTCTCGGAAGTAATGAGTGAGTCAAGTCTTAAGTGAAGTTTTTGTGTTGATTAATGTGTTGACTAAATTTTTCTCAACCCATCTACTTAATATATTACGTAATTGACTTTCAGTTGTGTTTGCTGGATCTTTGTTGATTATCTGATGTGTTGTTATCTTTAACCCTTATGTGCACACTCGGGTACCCACCAGCGCACATTTCTTTAAAATTTTTTATGTTCCAGTGAAAATTTTTCTTGATCCGGCCGGATGGTCACGATTTGATCATTTTTCTATCAAAATATCCTTCCAGATTTTTTTTTTTTTTAATGAGGAATAAAGAAAATTAGTGCGTTAATCAACTCGACAGGGACACTCGGAGTACCTCGGTACTCATGCATAGAATTTGTATGATTTCTGTATAATTTCTTATTCTATCGTACAAATTTTATTTAATATCATAATAAAGGTTGTTAAATAAGAACAAATGATTTTATAAATAAATAAAAATATTTTTTATTTTTATTTATTTATTTATTTATTCACCGCATTCTTTACATTGAGTTATCGTAACCGCATGCTCATCACATACGGGTTTGTTACAAACTCTACAAGATTTTCTGGTTTTCCTGCGTTTTTTTATTGTTTATTTATAACAAATATGGCAAGAACCAGTTATCACTTTTCTGCCGGTGTGGTTTAACCGCAGCTGAGAGTCAGAACAAACTTCGGCAGGAGAAATTTGTCTGTCTAGAATGCTCTTAACTGCCAACTTTGTAGAATAATTTCTTATTATTTGCAGATTTTGAGAGCAATCTTCAATTATTGGCATGTAGCTAGCTCTTCACTAAGTTGTCTCAAAAATATTCTACGTTGATGGAGTTTTTTTATTATTTTATTATGTTCATAATAAATGAGATATGCAGCAATGCAGGCAATATCGATAATGTTGTAGAAAAAAGCTAATGGCCATTTATTTGTACGCCGATGAGTGGTATATCTGCATAACATCTGGTCTACAGGATCTACTCTCTACCAGATTTATATTTATTATAATATAAAATCATTTCTGGTTTTTTCTTTGCATCATCGGATATTGCCATATCAATTGATGAGCAATTTTTTTCTTTTCGAGGTAGAAGGCTTTCATGAGAAAATAACTTTATGTTCTTATGTGCCAAAAAAAATAAAGCTTTAATATTACTTTCCACTATGCACTCGGATATGACAATATCTGATGATGCAAGAAAAAACCAGAAATGATTTTATATTACATAATATCATCGCAAACAAACTTCCATTGGCTCTAATTGACCGTATTTACATATACTTAATGTTTAAATAAAAATATTTTTTATTTTAAAATCATTTGTTCCTATTTAACAACCTCTGTTATGATATTAAATGAAAATTGTACGATTAAATAAGAAATTATACAGAAATCATACAAATTCTATGCATGAGTACCGGAGTACCCCGAGTGTGGTATAACGCAGGTAATTCCGGGTGTGCACATAAGGGTTAAGCATGTTATTAATTTCTATATTATAATCATTTTTGTGGTCGGCTATCGTGACGTTACCTTTATCTGCTCGGGTAAAAATAAGTTTAGAATTGTTTTGGATAAAATGTGAAGTGGCTTTGATTTGTAAAATTTGATTTGTAACTGACAAACAGACAAAAAAATTTTATAGTATTCACACAATATATGGCACAATCATCGTTCAATTGTGAAGGAGTGTTGGAAAATTGAAGTATGCTTTTCGTTGCGTGATTTGTACATATTTGCGAACAACGTATCTGCAAATAAATGTATCTATACATTTAAGTAATCTCTGTGTATAATATAATTCTAATCTAGTTCTACTGAAGATAGTTTAGAATAAAAACCGAAACATTTGAAAATAGCAGTGTAATTATTTACAGCAAAACACCCCGTTCATTGGTTCTAACAGCCCAACAAATAAAGTTATAATCTGGAATTACTAGTAGGAATCTGAGGAAACGTCTTACTATCAATTTTAATACTAATTTACTTTGTTCGTCAATTGCACAGTACAATTGCTCAGTGACGAGTACGGTTCCATGTCGCCTGGCTCCTTGGAAGCGCAAGGACTTATTTCTGCCGCTGAATATCAAAAAGTTGCAGCGCTCACTCAGTCTGCCAGTCCCGATGCTCACAAGAAAATAGTTGGTAAGCATCTTATTTATATATTTTTTAAAACAATTTATACTTGAAAACATACATTGTTGTACATGTAAAATAAGAACAGCACAGATTTTTTTGCAGTTGTACTGAGTTGTAACTCTTAAAAGGTAATATTGTGAAGCTCTATGTATTAATATGTCCTTTTGTATAGACTTTTTCGGTCGCGTCAAGGATAAGGCAGGCGATGTTGAACGAATATTGAAGGAGAAGGATCGTCACGGTATCGTGTTTTATTGTTATTTCGCAAACATTTTCTTCATGTAGAAACATTTCTTTATTAAAGTATTCTGTAATTTTGTTTATGGAATCTTCAAAATGTTTCGTTACTCTTATTTTGTTATTTTATCAATTTAATCTTGGCAACATTTTGTTACAAATATCTAACTCTGTTTTGCGATTCTTGAAGGTCGCAATAGGTTGTTTAGCAAGCATTTTATATTTTATTTGCGAAAAAATATTTGCAAATAAGTATAAGACTCATTATATATATTATTAACTTTATGTTTTTAATGTAATATTATCTTTCTTTAATTAATAAAAGTTTTTAGACTTTTTTAATATCTATAATTCTTGCTTTTATTAACTCTTTTTTAGAAATGTGATTGGTTTTCTTATATAAAATCATCTGAATCTCATTATTTTCAAGTAATTCATAAAAAATTTTTATTTTTAAATCTTTAATATTTTTTTTTTAATATATATGTATCTTTTTTACGAAAGTAAAGATTTTCCAGTTTTTTGGTTTTTAATAGATTCTAATAGTTTTTTTTCAGTAGATCTTCTTGGATTTCTTCAGTTTAATTTGGTAGATGTTACATTTCAAATTATTTTCGATTATTGTCGTATTTTCGATTGCTATCGATTACCTAAACGAGATCTTCTTTCTGTAGGTATATTGGCTAAGATGAAGGAAGGTGCGGAGAATGTGCATACTAAATTACAGGCCAAAGCAGAAAGCGTCGGTCTCAAGCCGTCGAATGTCGACGGCAAAGGTTAGACAGTATCTTAACAGTGATAAATTTTTGTAGTTCACCGATTGACAACACATCTTACAAAGATTTATCTCGTATTTTAGGCTTTCCACTTTTACGTTTTTTTCGATTTTTTGTGTATATCACACAACAGAAATTTTTTAGACATTAAACAGGCTTATTGTTATCGTTTCATCTAGATTTTATTATTATACTTAACAATTGCATTTGATTCATAAGCACCAGATCACGGAGATGGATAGTGGTTACTAGGATTGGTTATATTATTACTTCAATTTTGTTGATTCTACACGTTTGAAATTTCAGTCTCTTCAGTCTCTTCAGATTGTATATCTTTTTAATACATAATTATATCGCTTGTCTTTGATTTGTCATACAATACATTTATATCAACGTGTCTCATACAGCACAGAACCTTTCGGTTATGTTGCTACAACCCTGATAGCCAAGCATATTTTGTAAAATCATGTAACTTAATGCTGAGTTGAAGTTTTCAACTAGTTGCTGTGTATTTGCTGAAAACATGATGCATGTCATACGTAATCAACAACACGAAGGCAAATTTGAGACATTTTGTGTCAGCAGATTCAGAGCAAACAAAGAGCAACTATTGCTCATTAGTCTTTAAACAAATGAATGAAATAAATTCGGTTGTAAGAGCCGTTTGCAGGATCCCTGATAGCCACCTGTCTGTGTTTTTGCTGTCATGTTGCCGAAAACAAAACGCTTGAGTTTTCAGCAAATTTAGAACAAGGTGAGTCAGGCATTTGTCTTTGGTTTGACATGACACGTATTTAACATGTGTTGCCGACAACTTGCTGTATATTTGCTGTCAACGGTTTATCACTAACATAAAGAGCAACATNACAACAAGTTGNNAACAANACGTCATAAATTTCAGCAAAAATACAATATGTCGNAAACGGACAAATATATATTCAATAACACATNGCTCTGTGAAAGGGGAATTAATTACTTCAAGATTTCACTCAAATTAATCTTTGGAGATCTGATTTAGTTCGCCGATCAACTTATTAACTCGATGAAAGGTACCGGACCCGGAAAAAATCCTAAGGTGATGAGTGGGATTTGAACTCGAGACCTTCATATTTGCAATCCCTGCACTCAGTCCGCAAGACTACTTGTTCCTTACTAAAATATAATTATTTTTGTGTACTTATTCTAAAAGACGGTCATTCGTTTTCGACATTTAATGGGCTACAAGATAGAATAAATATATGTCAACAGTTTTTACCAATCATACGACAGAAGTACAGACATCGGTGTCTTGTTTTGTTATCGTCATGTTGCTCTTATGTTGCCAAAAACGAATGATAAAGCAAAGAGTTTTCTATAAATAAAAGTCATTTTGTTGACAACGTAATGAGCAATAGTTGCTCTTTGTTTGCTCTGAATCTGTTGACACAAAATGTCTCAAATTTGCCTTCGTGTTGTCGATTACGTATGACTATGCATCATGTATTCAGCAAATACACAGCAACTAGTTGAAAACTTCAGCTCAGCATTAAGTTACATGATTTTGCAAAACATACTTGGCTATCAGGGTATTGTGTGTACGTGTGTTTGTTTATTTACAATAGAATTACGCTGTACTTGATATGTTGAATGCTATTAACAATCTTACTCGACAGATCTTTTTATCTCTCAACGAGTTTATATTAATATTTAATTAATATTTAATATATGGTTTTTTGTTAAGCTGGTTGATTTTCACTTTTTAGTTACATCACATAGCTATATCTTTTAGGTAGCTTAAATAATATACAAATTCGCGATTTTTGTATCAAATGCGATATTTTATAGGAGAAAATTGGAATAACACCGATGCGACGAAAAACAATTTGAAACGGAATGGTGTGTTCAGCGAACCGAATACAACAATGGAGATAGCACAGCTACTTTTGAGTCTTTTACACGCCTGGGGTATGGACCCAGACTTGGATCGAGTTTGCGAAGGAAAGTTGGGACTACTACGGCCTATGGTTCCCGTTTCTTTCGGAGTACTATCTAAGGGAGGTAATGAAAACCGAACAACATATTATCTGTTGATATACACATATTCTTATTATTTAAATGATTTTTAGTGTCAAACGCATATTTTTCATAACGCAGCATTGAAGAAATAATCTAATAAAAATTGAATGTTTAGAAATAATCATGTATGTTGTACCAGGCTACATGTCATTGCTGTTGCCAACTTGGCAAACACAACTTGAGCCGATCGGCGAACCTGCGACACAATTGGAGCAACGCCTACCGGCGGAATTGGTCAGGCAAGAGAGGCTCACTAGAGCGTTCACAGCGAGAGCGCACTGGGAACTGTCGACGACTCTGACGAGCAATCATTTACTCGCGGTGGTCGCTTTAGCAAATACCTTAATGTCGATGAATAACGCAACGTTTGTACCTGAGCAAGAACGAAATCGCAAATTGCATAGGTGAGTTTGATCGTGAAACAAAAGTAAATTGTATATAGTCTAAAAATTATATAATATAATAGTATATAAAATGTCTGTGTTAATAATACACAAATATATACATACAATATATAACTGAAATATATAACTAAAAATATATAACTAAATATATAAGCAATTTTTATATGAACAGACCGGGTAATAGAGGTGCAGTAAACTGGAACAAGACAGAAGAAGAAAACGAAGAAATGTACACAGTGCAGCAAGCACAAATTAAACAGGGTTGGTCACTTTTAGCGACATTGCATTGCGTATTATTACCTGATAAAGTTGCGGCGCAGGGCGGTGCAAAAACATTCAAGCGGCCGCAAGTAGAAATGATGGCACGAAGATGGCAACATCAGTGCGTTGAGGTTTGTTATTTGAATTATTGACAATTAAATAGTTACGATTTACTTAATTTTTAAATATGTTGCTTCATATTTAATATTAATGATATTCTACATAGATTCGAGAAGCAGCGCAAGCTTTATTACTCGCCGAATTAGGCAGAATGGGCACGAAAGGACGCAAAGCGCTTGTTGACAACTGGTCACAGTATTTACCGATGTACAGCACTCAGGAACCTATTGCGCCGCAAGCGCAAAATCAAAATTCGCCAGCACCCGGAAGCCCAGTGCCATCTGCAGAATCGCAACCAGAAGAAGAATACGAAGAAGAGGAATTAGCTGAAGGTGAGTCGTTTCTTGGTATAAATTATACATTACACATGTCAGGAGAAAGAACCCGTTTAAAAAAAAAAGAAAAAAAACAAATAAACAAACAAAAACTAATTTCACTTTCTAATCGTGTTTTCTTTAAGAAAATATTTTTCATAAGAATTAAATATCACACAAAAGAGAAATAAATGTAGTAGAAATGCTGCAAATAATAAAAAAATCGACTAATTTTTAATATGCACTTTCTTAGCAGAAAGTATAGCTAGAAAGCCATCAAGTGTAGCAGAATTGAAACGAAAGCAGACCACGGCGGTCGTATTATTGGGCGTGATAGGGGCTGAATTTGGCCAAGATGTGGCTACAAGCAATCAAAAAAGGGACAACGAACAAAGACGGAAGAGCTCGATCGTGGAAGGTTTTGGCATAGGAAATAACAATCTTGCTAGACACACTAGCATGGCACTCACTCATTTGTTGCACGCACCTCATTCTCCTAAGCTACCGATGCACACGGCGCTACGAAGAGCCGCGATCGATCTTATTGGCAGGGGATTCACCGTGTGGGAACCTTATCTCGATGTATCAAAGGTTAAAAGATATTATCTAGATTATGACATTGATATTCTGAATTTATTACATTTATTATGAAATGTTTTTTCGAACTAATTGCTCAAATCTCAACTTTTCAACAATGCAGGTTTTATTAGGCCTATTGGAAATGTGCTGCGACGCGGACAAGTTAGTGCCGAGTCTTACATACGGCCTTCCTCTTACACCACAAGCTGACACATGTCGCACAGCGCGTCACGCCTTGACGTTAATCGCCACCGCTAGACCAGCTGCTTTTATCACTACAATGGCTCGCGAAGTAGCCAGGTTCAACACTCTTCAACAAAATGCTCAGACTTTGAACGTCAATCTTGGCGCGAGTGTTCTAACCAGAGCAAAGCCAGAGATTCTCAGGATTGTTGAGCAATTAATCGACAAGATGCAAAGCGAAATGAGCGATCTACTTGTAGAGGTATCAATTTTCATTCTAAATTAAAATTAATCTTAAAAGATTTAGTCTACATGTAAATATCTAACGCGTTTATACACGAGTCAACACGTTCATTGATTTATTTGTAATTAATCTGTAATTAATCTAATTAATCGTGTTTTCAGGTCATGGACATCATCTTACATTGCTTAGATCCAGGTCATTTAAAAATGAAGCCCTTGAACGAAGTATTTCCGGCAGTGTGTAGATTCAATCAGGTAAATTAACTAAACTCTTTTGTGCTTACTGCTGCATTTATTAAATTTAAATTTTACAAGCTTCTTTTAAATGTCACATTCAGGTCAGTCATTGTCCAGCAACGCGCAGGATAGCAGTTGGTGGTCGCAATGGGCAGCTCGCATTGTATGAATTGCGAGGCAATGTCAAATGCCAAACCGTTCCTGCCCACTCGGCACCGGTCACTGCATTAGCGTTCTCACCGGAAGGGAAGTTCCTCGTTAGTTATTCTTGTTCCGAGAACAAGCTCTGTTTTTGGCAGGTAAAGAAGCAGAAAGATTTTTTACAATTTTTTGTTAACATATATGTTACACGCTTGAGACATATGACTTGAATCTAATTTTTCAGCAAACCAGCAGCGGTATGTTCGGTCTGGGTAACTCACAGACTCGCTGCGTGAAATCTTACAGCACCGCGCCAATCAACGACGTAGCCCGGTTGAACCCGATGCGCTTAGCTCGTCTAATTTGGATTAACAATCGCACAGTTACCCTAATGCTCGCCGACGGCTCGGAGACACGTTTCAATGTTTGAACGTTAGGCGCAGTTCGATTGGCGACAATCTTATTTCACAAAGCCGAAATAAATTCGCTCGTCATTCAGCGCCAACGCGCATTAAGCCTTATACAATGCCTCTTCATTAGCAAGTTTTTTACAGGAGTGCTAAAAATAGTAACAGTAAGTAGCAATACTCTTTCTAACAGCAACAAACTGGCTTGACAGCACTCGAAGTTGAGTAAATGATGCCATTTATGTATCAATAGATTTATTTTCAAACTTAAAACTGTATTAGTTTTAGTCAGAAGAATATTGTATGATCCAAGGCTCGAGCGCTGATTATTTATTGAAGTTTTTCTTCTCTGTTTATATAATATAATATTGATAGCAAAATGTAATTTAGAAAGTTAGCTGTTATCAAAGCTGTTGGTGTGACTTTAATCAAAGTATCTCGCGCGTCTTAACCAGGAGCATCATTTGCTGATTTCAGCACGCTCATTGGTACTTAATTGAATATTATACTACTAGTATTTAAATGATCACATACTTTACGCTGTGTATGTTTTATTACATATAATCGTTATATGTAGTTGTCCAGTTCTAATCTTTTACCCGATTTTTATTCTATTATTAGACAAACAACAAAGAGCTAGACAGTCATATTTAGTTGAGTGCACGGTAAAAACACATTATTGATAATTGCTTCTCACGCGAACTATGCAAAGTCCAAAAGATTAGAGGACATGAATTCTGTTCCTAATACCGATTTTCCGAGAGTTTGAGACATTTCTAAGATGTATTCCGTTGCACAAAAGAGAAAAATTTTAGTTTTATTAAAGATCGGATATTTTTTGTCATACTTAAATACTCTACTACGATAAAAAGAAGAATAGTCATTTTTCTGAACTTTGATGTTACAAGAAGTGAAAAATATTTCGTATATAGATGTTGTTATTTTTATGTTATAAATATTGTTTGAAAACGCAACTGCAATATTTTTGGAGGAATTAAACTTATATGTTTCATGCTTTTCTCTTTCTCTCTCTTTTGATCTTGAATTCCCCAAAGAGAGATCTTTGGACTTTGGCCGCACATTTCTCAAAGGAACATTTATGAAAGAATCGGTCAGTAAAAATCATTATTTTAATCATACATTTTTCACGCGACTTTAGTAAATATAAAGTGAATAAAAGAAATAGTAGAAAAATGTAGCTAAAATTAATAATAAAGCACAATAGAGCCAACTTTTTTTTATTATTCTCTATTAAGAAACTCTATTGTGTCTAATAACTGTCGTGTCTTCACAAATATTCTATGATTGACAAAACCTTCGATATTAAAAGTATTTATTTCATTTCTTAGAATAAAAGAGAAAACAAGAGAGTTGCTTTTCAAAATCAACCCTGATAGCCACTTGTCCGTGTTTTTGCTGTCATGTTGCCGAAAACAAAGCGCTTGAGTTTTCAGCAAACTTAGAACAAGATGAGTAACATTTGCCTTTGGTTTGACATCAGACGTACTGAACATGTGTTGCTGACAACTTGCAGTGTATTTGCTGTTAACGGTTTAGCACTAACATAAAGAGCAACATGACAACATGTTGCTAACAACACGTGCCGAGTCATAAATTTTAGCAAAAATGCAATATGTCGAAAACGGATGAATATATGTATTTAATGGCACATCGCCTTGTGAGAGGAGAATTAATTTGAGATTTCACTTGAATTAATCTTTGGAGGCTTGATTCAGTTCGCCGATCAATTGATTAACTTGATGAAAAGTACCGGGCCCGGAAAAAATCCTAAAGATGATGGGATTTGAATTTGAGACCTCCATATTCGTAGCCGCTACTTAGACTGCGAGACTACTTGTTTCTTACTAACAATAAGATGTAATTATGTTTATCTACTTTATCTCAAGCTATCCTGCATATTTCATTTATTATTGAAAGTACTATTTTATTAAAAATACTGCATTGCAATGTACCTGCAACAATGTACAAAAATCTTTATCTTATTATTATGAAATAAACTTTAAAAATGCACTAAACATAGTATTAATGTACTCTAAATATAATTTAAAGTACATTTTTACAATGCAAACAAATTTTTTGTTTACATATATAGTGGTTATTATAGTTAATTCTTAATAAATATGTATCAAATGATATATGAAAATATGTATACATATTTTTATGTATTATTTTTCTTATACAAGGTGTCCCAACAATTTTGATCAAGCTAATGTGTGAAGGTAGATTGCGTCAGTCTGAACAAAAAGTTATGTACCATTTTGCAAACTTCGCAATAGTTATTGAGTAGTTAATTAAAACATGTGACCCAATGAACGCGCAGGAAGAGATAATCCAGACTCTGTAGGTGTATAAGCTTATCAGCTGTAAAGAAAGATGGCTTACTTCATGCAATGTCCTAGCAACGAGAAACAGAGTAAACAAGCAAGCGCAATATATGGCGTGTGGCGTGTGACAGACAGCTTCTTGTGATCAGCTGATATTAAGCGATTCAGAGAAAGCAGCGAGGGATAAGAAGGCTGCTTGCTCGCGATCATGTGATTCTCACGGCGGTGTAACGCAGCAAACAGCGGCAAGCGATACAAATAAGCGTGTGATACAGAAAAATAAGACAAACATCTACTCGTCTAATTAATAGTAATATCTTACAATGGGAGTCATTTCCTTCTGTCACAAAAAAGATATTACTAGTACTAACAATTAGTACTAGTAATATCTTTTTTGTGACAGAAGAAAATGAGAGCGCTTATTATTTCCTTATTTCCTCGCGGAAAGCAATATTCTCAGTTGCTTTTTCTGTACCGCCGAATATCAGCTGATCGCAAGAAGCTGTCACACGTCGCTCTCGCTTGTTTACTCCGTTTCTTGTTGCTAGTACATTGCATGAAGTAAGCCATCTTTCTTTACAGCTGATAAGCGTATACGCCTACAGAGTTCGAATTATCTTTTCCCGCGCTCATTGGGCCACATTTATTAATTAACTACTCACTAACTATTGCAAATTTTGTAAAATGGTGTATGACTTTTCTGTTCAGATTGACGCAATCTACCTCCACACTTCGGCTCGATCAAAATTTTTGGGACATTCTGTATAATAATTCCCTGATAGCCACCTGTCTACGTTTTTGCTGTCATGTTGCCAAAAACAAAACGCTTGAGTTTTCAGCAAATTTAAAACAAGGTGAGTCAGGCATTTGTTTTTGGTTTGACATGACACATATTCAACGTGTGTTGCCGACAACTTGCTGTGTATTTGCTGTCAACGGTTTATCACTAACATAAAGAGCAACATGACAACAAGTTGCCAACAACACATGTCATAAATTTCAGCAAAATTCAATATGTCGAAAACGGACAAATATATATTCACTGACACATCGCT